TTGAACACTGTTACTAGGTGCCCCCTCCGTCTTCTCAAGACGAAAATGCCCAGTTTGTTCAACCTTTCTTCACAGGTCAGGTTTTCTAAACCACTGATCACTTTTGTCGCTGTCTTCTGGACTGGCCCCAGTTTGTTCACACCTTTCTTAAAGCGTGGTGCCCAGAACTGGGCACAGTGCTCCAAGCTAATACACCTGAGAATGACATTTCCCTTTTTCACAACAGCATCACACTGTTGATTCATATTCAGTGTGAGACCCATGATAACCCCCAGATCCTTTTCTGCAGTACTGCCACCTAGCCGGTTATTCTCCACTTTGTTTTTATGCATCTGATTTTTCCTTCCTAAGTGCGTTACGTCACATTTGTTTTGACTGAATTTCATCTTGTTGACTTGAGACCAACTCTCCAATTTAGCAAGCTCATTTTGAATTCTAATCTGTCCTCCAAAGTGCTTGCAACCCCTCCCAGCTTGGTGTCATCCGCAAACTTTACAAGCATACTCTCCTCTCCGTTAACCAAGTTCTTAATGAAAATATTGACTAGTACTGGACCCAGGCACTCCCCTGGGGGACCCCACTTGAGACACCCTCCCACTTTGCCAGCGAGTCAGTGATAACTCCTCTTTGAGTATGGTCTTTCCATCAGTTGTGCACCCACTTTATAGTAATCTCATCTGGATCATACTGGCTTAGTTGGCTTCTGAGAATGTCTTGTGGAACTGTGTCAAAAGCCTTACTAAACTTCATATACATCATCATATACTGCCTCCTTCCATCCACTAGGCAAGTAACCCTGTCAAAGAAGGAAATTAGATTTGTTTGGCATGGTTTGGACAAATCCATGGTGCTCTTCCTTATCACCCTATTATCTCCTCTAGGTTCTTACAAACTGTTTAATAAGTTGTTCAGTATCTTTCTGGGTACCAAAGTTAGGCTGACAGGTCTATAATTCCTTGGGGCCTCCTCGTTCCCCTTTCTGAAGATAGGTTCTGTGTCTGCCCTTCTCCAGTCCTCTGGGACCTCAGCCCTCCTAACGGTTCAGAGATTGCTTTGCCTAGCTACATCTAGGGTGAATATCATGTGGCTCTGCCAGCTTGAATTCATCTAACTGACCTAAATTGTCTTTTACCTGTTCTCTCCCGAGTCTGGCCTGTATTCCTTCCCCCTTGTTGTTAATATTGTGTTAAGCATCTAGTCACCATTAACCTTTTTTGTGAAAACTGAAGCAAAAAAGGCATTAAACACCTTGGCTTTGTCTGTGTCATCCATTATTTGCTCTCCTTCCCTGCTGAGTAGTGGCCCCTCACTTTCCTTTGTCTTTCTCTTGCTCCGAATGCATTTATAGAGCTGCTTCTGATTGTCTTTTATGTCCCTTGCCGGTTAGAACTCATTTTTGCCTTAAGCTTTCTGATTTTCTCCCTATGTGCTTGTGCTATTTTTTGGTACTTCTCCTCAGCAATTTGTCCCAATTTGTTTCTCTCAGGTCCTGCTCCCCTGGACCGCATCCAAGGAGGTGCATGGGTGGCTGAGGGCAGTGGAAAGGATCACCTGCCTGATGAAATTCATGGCTTGTCAACATAAATGCAAGGTGAGCAGCCTGTGACCCTGGCCGCCTCCTAACTGCACTGAGCAGCCTCGCGGTGCAGCGCTCCCTGGCAGAGAAAACCCGGGCCTAGAATAGTGACTCAGCAAGATCCTCGGTAGGAGTCCAATCTACCGAGCACTGATGTCGATGGGTCTGTCCTCTGACTCCAGTGGGCTTTGGGTCGAGCCCCATAATTCTGTCTCCAAGGACTCTCCCCGCTGTTCCCCTAGCACCAAAGTCTGCTCCGCAGGGTCAGTGCATTTATACAGGATGGCCCTGAGAGCAGCCTCTGAACCCAGGTGTCTGTTCACCCCCTTTGTCAGTTGCCCGTGGGATGCTTTGGCATCAGCTCCTGCCAGGCTGCCAGATGAACGCCCCCTGCTCTGGGTGCTCAGGGCCATTTAGCTGCTCCAGCTGCTCCATCCCCCCTGTGTCAGGGCCTCCCCTCGGGCAGCTGGAGGGGGGCGTTTGGATGATGTGCCCCCAGAGGCTGGGGCAGCAGAACAGAAGGAGCGAGGTGGGAGGGGACACACTGAAAGGGATGGGAGGGTCCAAAGGAGCCAGAGCACTGGGGAGTGGGTGTGGGGAGGTTGTGCAGACCCCTGGAGAGGAGGGCAAGGGGTTTGGTGCGAGGTGGGGAAGAGCAGGGAGCCAGCGCAGGTGCTGCAGGAGGGGCAAGGGAAGGTCTGGCAGGAGGGGGAGATGAGAGGACAGGGCTGCAGGAGAGAGCCGGCGGGAGAGAGCCGGCAGGCTGGGGATGGCGCAGAAAGGGAGGGCTCTGGGGAGCTCCAGGATGGAGTGAGAGAGGCGGGATGCAGAGCAGAGGAGTCCAAAGTGACCCCAAGTTCCTGGGCCTGAGGTCAATGGAGGGCGGGGGATGGGAGAAGGGGCTGGGATTAGGCGCTTGCCCTTGAGATGGAGACTGGACGTTAGTTCATTCGTTACCCGGGTCCCCACTCGGGAGCAAGGTTTGCTGACTTTGCTGACCAGATTTCCCCGTCCCTGCTGAGCTTTCCTCAGCCCCTGGTGATGGGCCCCACGGCTCCTCCTGCTCTCATTGTCCCCAGTCTCTCTGCACTGGGCTCTGCCTCCCCCAGTTCTAACCCATTGCTAGGGCAATGCCAGGGGGACATGCTGCGCTAGGCCTGCAGGGGCGAGTGACTCCCTTTACGCCCTCTCTCCATCAGGGAGCGGAGGAGTTCAGAGTCCTGGGCCAGCTGGTGGGGTGTGTCACTCTGTGCCATCTGGAGCAGGAGATCTGCCGATCGTCTATGGAGGCATTTTACTACCTCTGCTCCTTCATGCTGCAGCTAAAATGTAAGAGCCCTGGAGACCCTTGTCCTTCCTAAATACACTGACATGGGGTTTCCAAACACGGAAAACATATTTCTTGAACACTTCTGCCTTTTCTGCAACCTTTTAAGCAGTCTCCATCTAGTAATGAGCCTACACCACTGCTAAGATTTCTTTTGTTCCTAAATCACTTTTTTTAAAAAACCTCCTTATTATCCTTAGTCCTGCAAGCCATGGAGTTTCCCCTGATGTCTTTAGCTTCCCCTATCTATATTCTACTCTTCATAACTCACATAAGAATGGACATACTGACTCAGACCAACGGTTCATCTAGCCCAGTATTGTGTCTTCTGATAGTGGCCAGTGCCTCATGCTTCAGAGGGAATGAACCGAACAGGGAAATTTTGAGTGATCCATCCCCTGACACCTAGTCCCAGCTTCTGGTAGTCAGAGGTTTAGGGACATGCAGAGTATGGGTTTGCATGCCCTGATCATCTTGAACCCAATTATACTTTTAGCCTTCACAACATCCCACGGCAACAATTTCCACAGGTTGCCTGTGCATTGTGTGCAGAGATACCTTCTTTTGTTTGTTTTTAACCTGCTGCCTATTCATTTCATAAAGTGACCCGTAGTTCTCGTGTTATGTGCAGGGGTAAATAACACTTTCCTATTCACTTTCTTCACACCAGTCATGATTTTATAGACCTCTATCATATCCCCCATTAGTCATCTCTTATCTAAACTAAATGGTCCCAGGTCTATACTACAGACCTATATTGTTATAACGACATTGCTCAGGGGTGTGAAAAATCCACACTCCTGTCGGCAGGAGCACCTCTCCCACTGACCTAGCTAGCGCCTCTCCGGGAGGTGGATTAAGAGCTTGTTGGCATAGGAGCATCTTCACTTAAATGCTACAGCGCCGGTGCAGCTACGGCGTGTGCTGTACCCAACCAAAAGAGTGAGAACTCTGTTATTCTCCGACAGGCGATACAGTGTTTGAAGTGTAGACTTGCCATCAGTCTTTTTCATCCTTCCTCATATGGAAGCTGTTCCATCCCCCTAATCATTTTTGTCGCCCTTCTCTGCACCTTTTACAGTTCTGGTATATCTGTTTTGAGATGAGGCGACCAGAACTGCACGCAGTATTCAAGATGTGGGTGCACCATGGATTTATATAGAGACATTATGATATTTTTCTGTTTTATTATCTATCCTTTTCCTAATGGTTCCCAACATTCTGTTTGCTTTTTTAACTGCCACTGCACATTGAGTGGATGTTTTCAGAGAACTATTTACGATGATTCCAAAATCTCTTTCTTGAGTGGTAATTTATACCCCATAATTTTGTATATATAGTTGGGACTATGATTTCCAATGTGCATTACTTTGCATTTATCAACATTGAATTTCATCTGCCATTTTGTTGCCCAGTCCCCCAGTTTTGTGAAATCCCTTTGTAGCTCTTCGCAGTCTGCTTTGGATTTAACTATCTTGAGTCATTTTGTATCATCTCCAAATTTTGCCACCTCACTGGTTACCCCTTTTTCTGGATATTTTATGACTATGTTGAACTACACTGGTCTCAACACAGATCCTTGGGGGACCCTGCTATTTACCTCTCTCCACTGCGAAAACTGACCATTTATTCCTGTCCTTTGCTTCCTATCTTTTAACCACTGACCCATGAGAGAACCTTCCCTCTTATCCCATGACAGCTTTCTTTGGTTAAGAGCCTTTGGTGAGGGACCCTGTCAAAGGAGTCCAAGGACACTATATCCACTGGATCACCCTTCTCCACATTCTTGTTGACCCCTTCAAAGAATTCTAGTAGATTGGTGAAGCATGATTTCCTTTTACAAAAGCCATGTTGACTCTGCCCCCAACAAATTTTGTTCACCGACGTGTCTGATAATTCTGTTCTTTCCTATAGTTTCAACAATTTGCCTGGTACTGAAGTCAGGCTTACCAGGGATCACATCTGGAGACTTTTTTAAAATTCACTGTCACATTAGCTATCTCATACAGAGGCCGATTTAAACGCTAGGTTACATACCACAGGGCAAATAAGTCTGTCTGGATGTCTCGTGAGAGCGGCAACCTTTGCACCAGGCAGGCAATTTACCATGTGGTTCTCCCAGCCATCACAAACCAAACTGCTTATATGTCTATTGATTGAATCCCCCATTATTATTACCTGGCTTTTCTTTGTAACTGGGGTTCCTACCTCAATTTGAGAGGACATCATGACTTCATCTGGAAGGTGGGTCCCAACTATGGGATCGTCTCCCTCTACTCTAGCTCGATGTTCTCCTTCCCCGAAACTTTCACCCTCCTCAGCAGCACAGAGGCTGTCAGACTGGGGGTGGACTACTCTACTGTGTCCCTAAAAGTCTCCTCTATGTACCTTGCTGTCTCCCTTGGCTCCACCAGTTCAGCCCCTCTGGCCTCCTGATCTCCGAGGGCCAGTAGCTCCTTGGGCCAAATGCCCACATATGCTACCTGCCCATAGGTCTGGTAATCATACATGCTGCATTCAGTGCAATCAACTGGCGAGCCCCATGCTGCTGCTGCCCTTCTGCCTGATTTATTTTTACTCTTCCAGGGGGGTTAGTTTGTTTAGTTT